TCTCTCTCTCTCTCTCTCTCGCGCGTTCCGTCTCTCTCGACGCTTGTCCGCTGTTATTCTCGAAATCGTTTCCCGTTTGGAAACGTTAACGCTTCCGCTCTGCCGTCGCGGTTCGCGAGACGGTTTTCCTTCGACGCTTCTCTCTCTCTCTCTCTTTCTCTATCTCTTCTATCTCGGTGTTCCGAGGTCCGCGGATCCGGTAATTATTAATGGGTCGGTCGATCGATAATTGCTTTTCCAAGCCAGCGCTTCTTTCCCTTAAACTTCGACGAGATCTATCGTCTCGGCGCCGATTGAAACTTTGTTATCGGAGGAGTCGCTCTCTCGAGCCGCCGCGTAATCTTCGACTCGATTCTTAATTAAACGATTCCGATCAAGTACTTTCGGAAACGTAATTCGCGTCTCACGCGTCGCGCGTCCGGCGCCGGACGTTGCGATACCGGGATAATAGATTAGCTCGGGACGAGCGACGCTCGCGAAATCAGTGCATACCAAATTGCGCGCCGTGGCTCGGCGAGGTCGGGTTTCCAGCGGCGGTAATTAAGAAAATCGATCGCCGATAATCCTCCCTCTTGTTTCCAGTCGTCCGCGGCCGCGTCTCTTCCCTCGGCCTTCCACTCTCGACACTCGAGCGCCTTCTTTCTCCCTTTCCTTTTCCCTGTTAGCGTTCAGCCAGGCCGTCGTCGTCGTCGTCTAACGGAATCGAAGGATAATTCGGATCGGCCTAACCCAATCGGGACCGTGTCCCGGACGATTCTCCGTCGGCCGGACCGAGGCGCGAGTCCAACCGGTTCGAGGAGGGACGCGGAGATCGTCGGTGCGTTTCCAGCGAATCGAACCAACTCGATGGACGGAACGAGTAGGGTGACGAAGTCTAATGTGAGATAGCTCCTAATATGGAATACCGCGCGATGTGTTGTTCATATGTCCAATGTATAAAAGAAAGGAAATGGAAAAAAATATGGGGAAAATTGGTTTGTTTATCGTTTTTAAGTCTATAGTATTTATTTCTCGTGATAAAAATGAGTTTCGTTGTTCGTATATCCAATATATAAAAGAAAGGAAACGGAAAAATTTCACATAATACGGAAACGTGGAAAATTGGTTTGCTTGTCGGTTTTAAATCTATGGTATTCATTTCTCATGATAAAAATGAGTTTCGTTGTTCGTATATCCAATATATAAAAGAAAGGAAACGGAAAAAATTATAATACGAAAACGTGGAAAATTGGTTTGTTTATCGTTTTTAAGTCTATAGTATTCATTTCTCATGATAAAAATGAGTTTCGTTGTTCGTATATCCAATGTATAAAAGACAGGAAGCGGAAGAAATTCACATAATACGAAAACGTGGAAAATTGGTTTTATCATTATTTTCCAATCAATGAGTATTCATTTCTCGCGATAAAAATGAGTTTCGTTTGTAAATTACCTAGCTGTTCCACATTGGTAGCCATTTTTTCACGTTTCGAAGTGCATAAATTTGTCTAATTTGTTTCAACGTTTAACTCCTACGTGTTTTGCAGCAGGTTTCATTGAGGATAATGCAACTCTCGGGTTCTGACAAGCGTTACAAATCAGGCGTTCCATATTATGTGCCGGTCGCCCTACCGACGCGCGACGCGAACGAGTTTCGATAAATTGGTTATCTTAATTGCGATCCGATCGGGCCGTGTTTCGTAAAAGCAAACAAAGGTTGCGGAAACCATTATCGATATCGTCTCGACGCCGACTCGTCCTCCCGGCGATCGTCGCGGGGCGGCCTTATCGATTCCGCGGCACGACAGCTTTACGATTCGGCGGGCTTCCGCGATGAAAAGTGTCACCGGTGACGCGCGGTCCCGAAAAAGAATGCCGTTACGCTGCAGCGGTCTGGTTTCAACGACGAGCCGCGATCGAATCGTCGCTCGTCATACGAGACACGGATATCCTTCAACCGCGGCGAGAAATTTCAGGAATTCGCCTCGCGCCGAACGCCTCTGCCTTTCGAATTTCGAGACGGTCGCGACGCGAACGAGTTTATCTCCGGAACCCGACGTGCTTTATCGTGCCGGGAACGACGCATGGCGCCAACTCGTTCAGACGCGGACATCCCTTATCGCGCGGTATCCGCGATTGCCCGTGAAATCTCGCGATCTCCGATTCGCGAGTGAAACTCGACGGAGCGATCCTCCTTCTCGAGTGCTCCGGAACGCGAGGCTCGACGAGTCGCGGACGCCCGTTAAGCTCGATCGTCGAATTAGCAGTCGCGCGTTAATTAAGCGTGCCCTGCGTGTACGTAGCAGCTTCACGAACGCGATCGGCTACCGATTCGAACTTGCCACTTTTCGCGCGGAACGCGGCATCGTGATCTCGGGGCCCGAACGGGAACCGTGAATATGAGAGGAGACGAGAGGGGGACGCTCAACGGTTTCGAAATTCCCGGAGTTCCAACGGATCGGTCTCAGAGTCCATTAAACGGAACACGGTCGGATACGATGTTTCGCAGGTTCCAACGAGATAGGGCTTCGACGTCCTGGTCACCGAGCGGAGGTGTCAGCGGCGGAGTGCCGTAGTGCCAGTGTCTATATACGCGGCCGTCCGTCCGAGTCCGAGATTACGCGTGTAGATAGAATCGCACAGCCGTCCGCTGTACGGCCGGCGACACGTCCACGAAAATCAACGGCGCCGCCAGCGATTTATCCGCGATCTAAACTCGAGTCTCTCGATTCCTTCGGAAACGAAGACTCCTTCCGGTCGCCCGGTTCGAACGGAGTTCTCCCGACATTGTCGCGATAACACGCTTCATCCCGAGCGCGAGCGGTTCGACGGAGAGGAGCGAGAACAGAGAAAAAGCGGAGTGGTCGCGCGACGGCGGGGATTTCGAACGAGCCCGAGCGAGGCCGAGCCAGGCCGAACGAGCGGAGGAGACCACCTAGCCGACCACGATTGGTTCGCTGACATCACCGCCCGTATTACATTAGCCTACGTAAACGTTCGCGCGCGCGTGCGAACGCGAGCTCGTTTTTACCTCATAGGACGAGGAATTCGCTTTTCGGCGTCGCCGCCTCGCTTTCAAGGTAAACGGACGAGTTCAAGCCTCGGGAGTCTCGGGAGCTGGAGGAGGGAAAAATCGGTGGTCCGGGGAAGGATCGAAATCACGGGGCGACGCGTCCGCTCCCGAGGGAAGACGTTGGCTCCGCTTTAGACCCGCGCCGGGCGGAACGGGTGTCTAAGCACGTTCGCTAAACAGCTAGATACGTTCGCCGGATAGGAGATACTTATGGCACTTCGGGGTATGAACTCGTGACCGTAGAGTTCCATCGCAGGATACAGTCGCCCTTTACATCCCCCCTTATCCCCCGTCGCCGCGCGGCTCCTCTATCTCTCGCGGCTCTCCTTCTCCCTCTCTCTGTATCTCTCCGTCTTCCTCTCCTTCTCGTCGCCCCTTCGCCAACGTCTCGCCTCGGGCATGTACATATTTCCAGGATATAACGGGTATCTTCGCGAGCCAAACCAACGCGAAAGGGAAGACTTCTCGGAATCGCGTGTCTCCTATGCGCGCAAACATCTTCCACGGTCCTCGAAACTACTAGAAATAGAGGAGTCGTTGACCGTAGGTGTGCGCCGCGCAGGATCGTGTTCCCGGGGCTCGCGATCGCGATCGAGTCGACGCTCGATAAAGTAGCCCGAACGAGAGCTTCGGACGCGACGATACGGGACCGATTATGCCATAAACGCGGGACGTCTCTGTTATTTATAACGCGACTCGTCGAACACCGGTCCAACCTCGGTCTCGCGCGCCGACCGCCGTAGTTTCGCATGCTAATTGGAAATTTGGCTGGCCGTATTTAGACGAGCGAGGATTCGTATCTCGCGCGGAGGATGCAATCGGGCGACCTCGTTAGCCGACCGTTTAAACGTTTCGATTCCGATTTCGACGGCTCGCACCCGGGATCCTTGGAACCTCGCGATGGAACTTTGAATATTCTCGTGGTAAGTCCGCGTTTCTTGCTTCCGCGGTGCAGCCGTGAATCGGCGATCTGCGACGATCCGTCGTTTGGAATCCCCGACAGACGGATAGGGGCGCGACGCGAGATAAAGCTCGCTGAAACGGAGAGACGAACGAAGAACGAACGAGGAACGAACGAGTCGATAAGGGATTCGAACGCCGCGCAGTGTAACAAATGGCCATTTTTGCTGGATAAATTCACTTTCAAATAAACAAATAACTGAGCCAGTGGAATCTACAATAACCGT